GGTATTTTATTGTATGGTGCATTCCCAGATACTGTGATTTTGTATCACATCTTCAGGTGCTCCCAAGACCTGCCCTGCACGTGCTTGGCAGCCATCTCTCCAGATGACCAGAGATGGGTTAGATCTTGGCTTGAGAATAGAGGTGTAGATTGCTGCTAAAAGTGTGTGTGTGTGTGTGTGTCACCAAAACCGGTACGGTTAGCGAATCTGTACCAATATAAATTAAGCCCTGCCTGCACTGGAGTAGTGAGTCTTGTTAGGCTATTATGAAAAGTGATTCACTTCAGTCAGTGCAAGCCCCCTGAAGTAAGCTCATTTAAGCAGATTTAACTGCTCTTTACACACACTGTTTTTGGTAAAAGGGGCATAGCCATTGCTGGAGAAGGCTCAGCAAGACCTCTGCTCAGTTAACAGCTACAGTCAAGAAGCAAAGGGGATGGTGAGATGCAGTGGGAACAAGAGGGAGCACGCTCTGCAAAGGCTGTAAAGCCATGATATCCGGATTCTGTCTGGATCACCCTAGAGGGTACAGTTTAGCTCATTGCAGAGCCCTTCCTGCATGTGAAAAAACAAACTTGTAGCCACAGACAGATTTGAAAACATTCAGAGTGTGGAAGGCAAATAAAAAGAGGGGACAGAAGTCTCTTTAATAATGACTGGGGTGCAGAGGGCAGAAAGGGCTTTTCTGCTTTTCCCAGCTTATAACAGAGTGGATGTAATATTCACATTTGCTGCTTTTTCTCAATGCAGTTAGAAGCTGAGAAGTGGAATTTTTACTTTTTTTTTTTCTTTTTAAGCAGCATGTAACTAAAATTGCAGTTTGTTATTGCAGCTTATGCGGAAGTTTAAAAAAGAATTTGGCAAAACTGTGAAGTTGACATTTATGTGGCTAAGATATATTTTAGAAAGGATGTTAAGATCTCTATGCCTATGGCAGGTAGGTTGGAACTCCGTGATCTTCAAGGTCCTTTCCAACCTAAACCATTCTATGATTCTATTATTCGATGTTTCAGTTTTAAGAAACCCTTTTTAACTACTAGGAATTAGTAATCAGCCTTTCTTTTAAAGTATCTAGTATTGATCAGTTAGAGCGAGGACGGTGTGTTTAAGGGACCACAGATGTCATTTGATATGTAAGTTCCTGTATTTCTGACTTAAATAATTCGTTATTAGTGACTTAGTTAAAGCAGTGTTTATTCAGTGACTTTGAGCCGTTCAGTGTTTCAGTTCCTTTTAAACTTTGGCAGCAAATATGCACTACTTCACTCTATACAGAAATTATTATCTCACGAAAGTAATTTTAATAGATGAAATCCTACACTGACTTATCCAAGTTGCTGTACTTTCAAATTTAATTTTAATGAGGTTTAGTTTTTTTAAAATATTAAAAAAAATCTAATTTGACTTTTAAAACAAACACTTTATATTACAGGAATAAAGCTTATTTTTATCAACCCTGATTCATTCTGCCTGGTTATTCAGGCCTAGTTGTTGGTCACAAGTCCAGCTGCCAGGGGAGAAGGCAGTGAGAGCTGGGGCTGAGAGGAGCCCAGTGGACAAGGGGCAGGCAGCAGCTGCCAGCTCTCCAGCAGCTGAGAACATAAGCGGTCATGGGCTTTGCCATGAGCCGGGGCTCGCTGGCATCGTGATTTAGAGGTTGAAGGGCACAGTCATGGAAAAGCAGTAGAGGAACGATTTGTCCCTTTGTTTTTATTTGGCTTGTGATGGCTTGCTGGTTCGTTGACTGCTGCTGGGTGCTCTGAAGTAGCCGGGACTGAAGAGTGGTTCAGCTCTTCAGACTATGCAAAAGACCATTTTCTTGCTGAGTTGCTTTTCCCCCTTCACATACCTACAAAATTGCAGCATGTTGTTTTTAAGAAACACGAATGCCTGCTGCTTCCTGTAACTTGGTTAACTGTGGAGGGTCAGCCCACGTGACTGGATGCGCACCGGACTCTGTTCCTGCAGTGCACCAGCAGACAGACCTGTATGTCCCATCAGCTGCGCTGGTGCCAACTCATTAATGGTGATGGAGCTGCCCGGGTGCCACTTGGCACAGCTGTGGGGTCCCCACCCCATCCTGGGGCCTCCAGACTCTTTATAGAAAAGAATGAGGTTTCTC